GGAAGAAAACAGAGAAAGTAGTCAACTCTGACAACAGAGAGAAGGTATTCACACAACACTGGCACTCGGGAGTGGGGAGAATCTGGGTCAGAAGATGGTGGCTTCCAAGGGTGTACTCCCTTGGAGAATTAACATGGGTCCTTCTAAGCTGTGGCTTCCCCACGCCTGGGCTGTCATCAGCATCCCCATTTTCATCCAGAGAGGTGAAAGTGGGTCTCTCTTCCTGAGAATCTCTACTTGTTGATCCATTTCACAACAGGAGATAATAGGAAGCCCCCCCTCCCCACCACATCTGCCAGAAGGTAAGGCGGCTATAATAAAGTCCATCGATTGAGGAAACCCTACCAATGAGGTCAGACCTTTGGAAACCCACATAACCCATGCAAGATTCAGTCACGTTGCAAAGTGTAGCTTTGGATCTGGGAAATGTTGGGCAGAAACAGAGAGGTGGGAGGCACCTGGCAGGGTAGAACACCTGCTTTGAACGCAGACGTCCTGCAGGCCAACTGCAAATCCTTCAGACAGCAATCCAGATTGCAAATCTTTTGGAAAACCGTTCTGGCTAAAGACCTGTTCTGCCTGGAGCTGCAAAGAGCCACAACTAGACTGAGTAGACAATGCCAGGGTTCATGAACAAGAAACTTGACTTAGCATTTTTCTGTATTAAGGTCTCCTTCAGGCTTTTCCTTTCTTCCTATTCCTTGCACACCACTTTGTGGACGGACGGATGGATGGATGGATGTATTTCATTTTCAATTTCCCAAGCCAGCATACAATCTGGTGGTCTCCCATCTCCAGACTAACAAGGTCAAACTCTCCCTGGCTTTTTGAGATCACACCAGGTTGACCAGAGGTTGCCCACAAAGTTCTGGCTGAAAGAAAGTGGCAGGACTGGACAGTCAATTCAGGGGTGTCTGCAGGCTGCGGTCAATAAAGTCAAGATGGTGGCCGGGACGGTCTGAAGTTCCACCTGTTTTTTACATGACACTTATAAAGAACAGGTGGAGTTTTGATCGTACTGATGTGGCCCCATCTTGACTTTTTGTGATCACCCCGACCCAATCCTTCCAGAAGCCTGCTTTCGATGTAGGCCTCTGGAAACTCCACTGCAGGAGCGTCGGTTGCTCCCACTTGCAGCTCATCTGCGGCAAAGCAAGGAATGAGTTGCTTCAGAAGGACCCTACGTTTCAAGGGTCACTCTGATATTCCTGACCTGAACCCCCCACAACTGCCTTCCCCAGCCTGGATTTCTGGAAGCTGCAGCTTCAACCCGGCGAACTGGGCTGTGGGGAAGGTTGACCCACTCACACTCCGGGGTGTGCAAGGAAACCGGTCTGGAACCCTAACCTTGGGGCTGCCAAGTCCGAGCACCCATCCCAAGGGTCCAGCTTGACAGGCCCCAATGTCCGGTTTCTGCAGCTTCCGGGCATTCCCACCTCCCGAGAATCATAAGTCACCCTGCAAGCATCACACCGCTTTTGGTCAACAGATTTCCTATTTTAGCCACGTCCGAGGACCTGACCTTAAATTAACCAAATCCAACTGCTCTTGCCTCCTTTTCAGGCCCCGGTGAGGGCAGGGCTTCCTGCATGTTTCAGTCGTTCCGAAAGGAGTGTTCAGTTTTGTCTAAAGTACCCGGCGCTTTGAACATCTGTTGGGTCTGAACAGAAAACCTTTGCCCAGGGATTCGTAAAGAGCTAGCTAAAACGAAACACTCCATCTTCGTTCCTTTTCAGCAAAAGTGGAACCAGTTTCCAGAAACACTGACCAATTACCATTTCCGACAATGATGATTAGGGGCTTGGGAATCCTGCAGGCAGAGAAATGGGTTGCTCTGGGCCAAGGCTCTGGCACAAAGCTCACACCTGCCGCAACTCCGAGGTGCCCACTGAAACCAGTCTCCTCCACCCCTGCAGGACTGTCCCGACAACTACCAGAAAATGTCCGATTGGCTTCCTTTCCTCCCCCCGAACACCTGCGGATCCACCAGGATTAAGGCTGCACATCTGGAGAGCCAAAGAGAGGCTGCCCTTGCAGCGAGAAGGAAAAACGCCCGGCTGCACGGAGGTGAATGAGGTACCTTCGAGGAAGCCATCCATCGTGGCAGGTGCAAGGCCAGCCTTTGGTCTTGGGAGACGCGGCACTTGTAAACCCGGGAATGCCCGTGTGGGAACCAGGTCGGGGCTTGTCTGCCTGTTTTCTTCCCTTCCTCTCCGGGCCCTCCCCCTCCCCCTCCCCTCTAGCCCGTTGGAATGAGGGTGGCATTGTGAATCACAGATTTAGCATGAGGTGATCGGGCTGGGCCAATCAGGGCTGGGCCAAGAGTGTGTGGCACCCGGGTTACTGCCGTGCATCTGGCGTTAACCCTTTCCCCACCGCCGGCGGCCGCGGGGGTTACTCCAGGTCAGCCGCCAAACGCTTAACCCGTTCCGGGCTGGGGCGCTGCGCTTCCTGTCGCGTTTGCTTTTCTGCTGTTGAGAAAATACCCTCGAGGAGCTTTGCTGGATGGTTCCCTTAGCTGCGGGAGATGACGCAAAAAGTTCCAGGGGCGCTGCCCGGATTTGCGCCCGTTAAATGTTCTAGTAGCCAATGAGGAGGTTCAGGCGCTGCAAGATCTGGCACCGGAGGGGGAAAAGAACAACAGAGTCCTTTCCCTGTGTTCTCTGCAGCATCACCAACAGGCAGAAACTTCTCTCTACCTGCTTCGTCCTGATTTCCATCCAGGGACATTAGACTATGATTTCCATTCTCTGCAGCCAGCATAATCAATGGCTGGGGATTATGGGAATGAAAGCGCAGCCCCGATGGGTGAGCCCAGGTTTGGGAAAGGATGTTTCAGCAAAGCCCTTTCCAAAGGTTCCCAAAAGTGATGCCCCGAGTTGGTTTCACTTGCAGGGAAGCTGAACCCAAAGCTTTCCAGGGTAGGGGGCAAAGGTGGTCTCTGGGGATCAGGCCGCTATTGGGTGAAGGGGGTGGTCAGCAAAAAGGCTGGCAAACCCTTCAACAAACTGCCATGATCTCTGCATGGCTTGGAGCAGAAGAGAAGCTGGTTAAGCGGTTTGATGCCAGGCCCAGCACTGTCCTCCTGGAGCCTGAAAACGCCTGGAAGAATTCGACCCCATCTTGCCACATCTCAGGAGGAATCTGGTAGCCCTTTTTCCAACTAACAAATGCTCCAAGGGCACCAGCGTTTGTGAGCCACAGCTAACGCCACTCCACGCCTCTGATAAAGCATGCTGCGGCTCACGGGCACTGGTGTCTTTGAAGAACGCTTGTTAGTCGGAGAAAGGGCTACCGGATTCCTCCCGAGTTTCAGATCCTGGAGACCAAGAGGGCTCTCCTCCCACCACCTCCTCTTCCTTAACTGGTGAGTGGATCCTTCTATTTTGGGAATGACGGGAGCCTCAACACATCTGGAGGGCCACAGCCTTGGGGAGGAGCGACAGGCACCTCTGGAAAGAGAAAGGAAGGAGGTGCCAAATTTGGGACAATATCCGGCCCTAATGAGATGGGCAAAAGGCGCCTCATAGAAACAAAACGGGCATTGCTTGGAAGGGAAGATGATCTACGAGGCACATAAGCCCCCCTGACGTTACCTGCCTTCCAGAAAAAGTTGAAAACTTTTCCAGAAGGCTTGGCGGGGGGGGG